AGCAATATCGCAGTAAGATGGATTCGATCACTGATTGAAATTCTTCAACAGTACAAATGTAAAATCAATATATTATTTATATAGTACACTATGATGTCTGTGGAAAATCGTTCTATATAACTGGATCCTAATAATAACGGGAGGAACGGGAATTGTAATTAGTAATACGATAGATAACATGTTTTAAATGATTTAGTACGCTGTTAAACAAGCTTGCGCCACCACATCAATATGGGGTTTTACAAAAGAACGCCTCCCATTCTTTGTTCGAATAAAACGTAATGTCTTTGAGTAACTATTATTCGGTAATCGGAATAAATAATAATTGAACGGGATAAAAAATCTAGAGTCTGACCATCATTCGAACTAACCCGATAATTGTTTCGTAGGTTTTCTTTCTTCTAACCGAATGCCATCTTGAACTTTCTTGATACAAATGTCAAAGATGGTAATGACACAAACAAGTATGCATTAGGTTTGTCAGATGACCGATAGCATTTTCCATTTCAATGCTTCATCCTGTTATGATCAGGCAGAGTTCTCCTTAAAAATTTTCGTTATCACATAAATAATGTTACCTGTTTTATATTCTATTCCCCATAGTAATAGTAAAAACAACCCCATTTGTGATGAATTTGTATTTTCATAAAAATTTAATGTTACTATATGTGTGTGACGAAAACACGTAGATCGTTAGAGTATTTATATTGTGATAGTATTGTAGCACGGCACATGTGCTCAATTAATGTGATATTTGGAAAACAGAAACCATCGTAATACTGTAAGACAGTAGCAAACTTTGTTGATGAAGTGAAAAAATATATCCAATTCGAGGAGGCGTAAATAATATGATATTCGTCTTGCTAGAAAACATTTTCGGCACGCTCATTCTGCTGTAAGAGAGGGGGGTGTTAAAAATGGGGGTATCCCTTAGTTATTCAGATGTCCCTTTACTATTACCGAGGGGATGTAAACGAAAACATCCCACCATCAATAAGATTTCATGTAATATTCAAACCCGTATACTCGGTGCAGAGAGAGTTTAAGCTACGTAGATACTGTATAATTAATTGACTGCTCAAGGACGTATAGTATAAAAATAGCTAATAGAACGCAAACCTTTTTATATACTTAATTACGCGCACAGCCGCATTTTTAAAATATGACCATTGTTCTTAAAATTTCCATCCAACATACTAACCTCCCAATGTTGCCTGATTGAACCTCCACTTGATGCTGATAACTACGATATTCTTATTGGATACCAACTTGCATTTTTACGTTGCAATCACAAAAAGCTAAATTTATATGTCAGAACAAAACCAAATATTTCGAACACGTCTACTGCGAGATATTTTCCAATCAAATAGACATGACTAGAACAATAAAAGTAACAAATACCAATCTAATCAACATTATTATCGTTTTTTGAGTTTACATTAAGTTATTTATAAAATTTTATATATTTGATTTGGTCTAGAATTCATTATAAATACGCTACTCTGACTCCTTCCACACAAATCTGCTGTTGTAAAATTACATTACGCAAACAAACGCTATGGACTCAATCAATGAAAATAATAATGTCCTGGCTATGATAACACGCCTATTGAAACATCCATAACTACCACAACAACTACCACAACAACTACTATAACAACTGCAGCAACTACACCAACAACTGCAACAACTATAACAACTGCAGCAACTGCACCAGCAACAGCAACAACAACAACAGCAACAGCAACAACAACAACAACAACAACGACGACGACGACGACGACAACAACAACAACAACAACAACAACAGCAACAACAACAACAACAACAACAATGACAACGACGACGACGACGACGACGGCAATGACAACGACAACAACAACAACAACAACAACAACAACAACAACAACAACAACAACAACGACAACAACAACAACAACAACAACAACAACAGCAGCAGCAGCAGCAACTACTCCTCCTACGCCCGCCTATTACCGACTAGTGCAACATCAGCAGCATCATCAACGGATAGTTACTGCGAGGAAGACGAGGAAGAATTTTTTTATAAATTATTTGATGGATCTGGATTTAATTAATAATAATCCGGAGACGTTTGACTCTGTACTTTTGACGACGTACCAGGAGGAACACTCTCGTCCCCGTTTGGACGCGCTTGATACACGGAATAAAAAGGTATGAATCCAGACAATGTTATAAATGAAGCATTTGGATGTAGAATATAATGTACGTAATGTCCGAAGATATTTAAACGAGGAGACTTGGGAAGGAGGCCGACGCATATAGTAATAGATAGCTATTAACGGAATTGTGGTAGAAGTACTGTGTGAATGAATTGAAAGCTGAAAATTTCTTTCTATTAATAGAAACAACGGGAAAGTTTGTTGCCGTTACACTAAATATATTGTTACAATTTGGAAACTTTCCAAGCAAGGTATTTCAGCTGCAATAATTGGATTCGGTTGCTAGGATGCTTTAAACCCAAGATTTAAGTCATTTGAATCGATTGTAAGTAATTGATTCAAGAAAATTTTCCTGAGACTTCAACAGCTCTAATAGTAACACCATAGTTTAAGTTAATATGGACGTTTGCAAAGTAATTGCGTTTAAACGTCGATATTAATATCGATTCCGTTACTTTTGATAATGCCATGTAAGACTTTTAATTAGTGGCGGCAATTAATAATTTTTATTTCTCAACCAATTTGTATAAAATTTTTCTGCACATAAGTAATAATAATGTAGAATTACTAAAAATAAAAATTTAGTGGTCAAATGTTAAACTTCATATTAATATTGGAAATAGATGGTATTGAAAATAGAGAGTGACACACTTCATATTGGAAATAGAGTGCCACTTCATATCGGAAATAGAGAGTGACACTCCATATTGGAAATAGAGAGTGCCACTTCACATTGGAAAGAGAGTGACACTTCACATTGGAAATAGAGAGTGACACTCCACATTGGAAATAGAGAGTGACACTCCGTATTGGAATAGAGAGTGCCACTTCATATCGGAAATAGAGAGTGACACTCCATATTGGAAATAGAGAGTGCCACTTCATATAGGAAACAGAGAGTCCTTGTTATTGTATATTTCGAAGCCAAATGAGCATCAGTTATTGCCACTTCATATCGGAAATGGAGAGTGCCACTTCATGTTGGTACGTTCGGAGGCTTCTATTTTTCGGATGGTTATCCTCTCCTCCTGACTAATTTTCTTTTTCGTTCGGAAACAAGAATGTCCCAAGTATTGGTTTCATAATTGAATCCGGTAAATTGTTTCCGTAGTATAAATAAAAGTTTACAATGCCCCAATTTTCGTGTTCATCACATCGACACATGCTAGACAGAATTCACTATCATCTTTATCGTAATGAGGTAATGTATAACGCAGGACGTCAGATATCTTGATGGACGCGCAAATGACTTGGATACGCCGTGAATATGGGTGGAAGGAGGACTGGAAATTTGGGTAAGAGGAAAGATAAAAATTATTATAAGATTTGAAAAGATCACAAAATGATATGCACGTCAAAGCAGCTGAATAACACCCACCTTCACCATATTGGATACGTCAAAGCACTGACAGTCTCATCTTCAGGATGTAAAACTCTATTCTCAGCAAACGTCCGAATCGTTCGACAAAGCTCTACACGCATGGCAGACACAAAGGTGAGGAAAGGATATAAGAAAAAGGTCATTGGGGTAAAACGAAAAACCATACGTAATGACAATGGTCAAAAAAGCATAGATCCTTCAGGGGTTGTAACAAACCTGCAATGATGCCTTCGGGTTACAAACCCAAACCTCCTTCGGCACTCGACAACATATTTACTTTCTGGAATAAATCCAGGCCTGCAGCAGAGTACTCAAAGTCGTCTGAGGCTTTGTCGGGGATCCCAGCCCGAAGTACCCTCAAATAAGGACGATGAAATTCCCAACGTCGCCACTCTGAGGATTCGTTGACCGTGCATTCTTGGTAGTCAGGAGATTACTGAGACTCATGGACGATGGATGAAGCTTTGAATGTTTGTGAAGTCGGATAGAGTGTTGTCTGGTGATTTAATTTATAGAAGAGAGAATTTGACGGCAGTAGGGTGCTTGTATCTCTTGGGTTGACGGGGATCGGAAAATAGCATTGATCTTTGGTTCAGTCGTGCTTAGCATTGCCATAGCCCTGATCTGAAGAAAGAAAAGAGAAATTTCGTGAGTCACTCGTATGGGTAATATGAACTGCACATATTACAACGGAACATATATCCGTAACAACTAGTTGTGAGTGAAAGTCATAGAGCGATGTGAGCTTAAAAGTTATGGTAGCGTTTGGTAGCAGTACAAATACTTATCGACGCGACTGTTATTTGAATTTACGTAACGACATTTTAATTTGACATAAAAGGGTTTACCTTGGTAAGAAATTTTGGGACATCTGACGGCCTTTACTGTGCATTGAAAGGGTGACCAACCACTTTTTTGGCGTACGTATTTCCAAATGTGATTGGCTGTGATCACTTTCTTTACAAAAAGTGAGCGAGAGTCGTTGCAAATTGCAGCAACAAGCATGGCCTCAATTCAGTCCGATACGGAGTGGTTGAGAAGAAATATTGATGATGGAAGTCTTCGGTTTTATTCTTTTGATGACTTTATTGACATACTATACATCGGTAGCGGAGGAAATGGGGCGGTTTTCAAAGCCAAAGTGAAGTCACTTGGTAGAACGGTGGCTTACAAGATTTTGCATTCACAGAGTGAAGAAGACTTTGTCAAGGTGGTTTGTAGCGTAGATGCTGACTTTATGTTTGGATTTATCGCTTTACTTACCACCACCGAAATGATACTTTTAGCTTAAGATTCATCGAAGCGTTGATGATCATTCCAACATAATCCGATGCCTTGGAGTGAGTAAAGGTAACATTGAGGTATGGTTACGGAGGACACTTAATATATATGACATTAACGTAGATTTAATAACAGATACAGTCAATAGATATGTAATGGTCTTCAAGTACGCCGACAGTGGTTCGTTACAATCTTACTTATCTGACCCGCCTGTCGAATTGGACTGGCCTACGAGATGCAAACTCGGTATCGATGTTGCTAATGGCCTGAGGTATCTTCACGAGCGCCGTATTATACATAAAGATTTGGTAAGTATAGATGTGCAGAAACAACATTACCTGATCAGAACTAACTATTGACAACTCATTATTATTTAGTCATCGTCTAATATATTGATTCATGCTGGTGTGGCGAAGATAACAGACTTTGGCTCGTCCGATCTGATTTTGCAACAAAAAACCAATTCAAACATTAAAGGGACTCTTCCATACCTTGAACCCAGATGTTTATTTGACCCTTCTGTTAAACGTGATGAAAAGTCAGATATATTTAGCTTTGGAGTGGTATTGTGGGAAATCTCAGGTGGTAAAAGTCCATGTAATGGCCTTCAGTACTATAATGACATTATAAATTATAGGGTAAATGGTAAGCGCGATGCCCCAGTTTTGGGAACACCTGAAGAATATGTTGCATTATATTCAGAATGTTGGGATGATACTCCTGAGAAAAGACCATCTAGTGAGCAGATTTTTTATAGATTGAGTATAATGAGCCAACCAGCAATAATTTCAAATCATGCATTTTCTGATCAGTTGTCAAGGATATACCAAGAAGAATTATCAAAAGGAAAAAGACTAGATCAGATTGCTAATTTGATTAAAGACTGGCTGGCACATAATGGATGGTATCAACAGAGTTATCCGCCTGTTAAGAGGCTTAAGGATCATGTTGATTGTGGGCAATGTTGTTGGGCACTTGCTTTTTTTTATGAACATGGAATAACAATTGGAAAGGATCTTAATCAAGCAGTCTACTGGTATAAATTGTCAACAGAAAAAAATAATGCTTTTGCA